CAAAACTAGCCTGATCAGTCTGCAGCCTTCAAAAGTTGTGTTGTTGCTGGCCTTCTTGAAAGACTTTTGTCACTTGTCAGTTTGTGCCTTCTTCACCCGACGCATAAAGGACACAACTTTGAGCTGAAAAGACAATCCGTCTCCTCTCCTGAGGGATAGTTGCAGCTCCTGGATAGTCATCTTCAGCTTTGCACAAGGGACTGCTCCAGCTCTTCCTCTACCATTTTCTTTTGTTAGGGGTATGGAGAGCGAAGCTTGATTGCTTGGGGAACAGACATGATCTCCTCTATGCAGTTGTAGATATCTCCAAGCATCCTCAGACCATCACACATCATGTCAATGTTGCGCATGGCAAAGAGATGAACGCCTTGAAGCTCTGCAACTCTTCTTCTACTTTGGCCTCAGTGGAGAAAGGTTTTGAAGGCAAACTTGTAGACCTCTGATATGGGTAGTAGCCATGGTTCTAGATGCGATGGAAGAAAAAAAGAGGAGTGCAATACTCTCCTGGAACCACTGTTGAGCATCCTATTTATTGGCAAGAGGCAGAAGCAATAAAAAACGATTTGCACGTTTGTTAGTGAAAGCAAGAGTTGACTCTGCTTCAGGTACCTAGTTTCAATTGTGGCAAGAACTATCCACCTCATAAAGCACCAGCGGCATGTCCCAGCCATCTGCGACAAGATCAATCAACAGAGTGATCTCTTGACCATCTGAAAAGTTCAAACGGAATTCATTAGTGAAAAAGAAAGACTGTACACTTCGACTCCTTTGTGGAGTTAAAATTGGACAGAACAAGATGAGCTGTAACTATTTAACTGTACACTTCGACTCCTTTGTGGAGTTAAAATTGGACTGAACAAGATAAGCTGTAACTATTTAAAGCCTAAATCACCTTATTCAGTTTCTGATTGAAGACAAACTTGTGGTGCTACCTCAGAGAGTGATCGCTTCTTGACAAGATCAATCAAGAGAGAGATCTCTTGACAATCTGAAAAGGTCAAAGTGAATTCATTAGTGAAAAGGTAAGACTGCACACTTGACTCCTTTATGGAGTTACTAAAATTGGACCTAACAAGATGAGCAGTAACCGTTAAAGCCTAAATTACCGTATTCAGTTTCAGATTGAAGAGAAAAGGTGTGGTGCTATCTCAGAGCTCCTAGCCTTGGATTCTATGAGACCATAACATGAGCTAATCTTTGAATCTGAAGCGCGCACACACATCATAATGGAACATGCCGCAAGGGAAAATATATAGATAAATAACGCAAACATGATCCTACAAATAACGAAATTTGTTTCTACAATGTGCCATACTGACATCTCTCCTACACGAGCCTTCATTAAAACCACGAGCCATGACGACTGAACATCGTTGCTGCGCAGCGGGGGTTTGACTTTGATTCCCTTCCCATTTTCGACTCCTGTTCCATCAAACGCTGCTCCTAAAAGAGAGAGAAACTTACCCCTGCTGAAATCTACTCGGCATGACGGCTCTGGAGGTCATCCCCCATCTCGAAGAAGCCTCCTTGCACTGCACATTGGCGGGTTCCGCGCAGATCCAGCGGCTCAGGGGACCGATAGCTCTAGCTCCGAGTTGTCCAGTAACTTTCTGTGCCGCTTGGGCATACTGCTGAAACATGGGGGTGCGACCGAGGAGGACGGGTATGTGGATGTGGCGGATGAAAGCACCGGCAGAGGGGGATGGCTCGCCGGCGGCAAGGCCTGGGGAAATACGATGACTGTTCGTCGATTGCAATATGAGAAGCCGCGGGAGGAGACACGGACACGCCAATGAACAAAAAGAGTTTAAATCAGCTAGCAGACAATATGGGCATTTGGTCTAGTGGTATGATTCTCGCTTAGGGTGCGAGAGGTCCCGAGTTCAATTCTCGGAATGCCCCTCATTTTTTTATTTTTCTGAATTTTGTCAAATCGAAATCTAAAAAATGTACCTCTATCTTTTCCAGACATACTGTTTTCTCTCAGATATGAGTTTTTCTTCTTCTTTTTTCCTACGAACCAGCACGGACTTGCTCCATCGAGATTATGTTGTTCTCTAAAAACAGATTAAAAAATTACGTGCATTCTTTCGCTTCGTATTTTGAGAAAATTGAGTGCACAAGCATGAATTCGTATATCATCCATGTTAGGACGAACAATGACAAGTTGTATGCTAACTCTGATATGAAATGATAGGACGTTTACAAACAATGTTTTAGTGGATTCGGAATAATAAACTTGGTGAAGTACGAAGATTTTCATCAAACTATCAAAGAAGCAGCAAGCCATAAGCTAGAACGATATACCCTGCTATCACGTCGGATGCGAAATATCCAATATTTTCACTCAATCGGTAGTAAGTGTAATGCACTCTTTTTTTTTTCTTTTTTAAAAATGATGATGCACTCTTGTGTCCTAAATTATTATACCCCTTTGCAAACACACCTTCCTACTCCAGACAATAGAAAATGCAAATGGGGCGTAAAAAATTTGCCCCTAAGAACACATGCCCTCATAAGAATAGATGTGTCGGGGATGCATATGCAGCAGGAGCACGCATTCTCATGTGTAACCAACGATACATGCACATGGAGGCATATGCCATTAGGGGCAAAAACAACATTCACGTGCGGGTGCAGATGCAGCAAACTTGTCACAACATAGAAGAGGAGGGCACGGGGAGGAGAAAAGTGGAACATGCGGAGAAGGTCTTCTCCTAGAACAGTTGATATCACCAGAAAAAAAAACAAATATTTTCTCCCTTGAAGAGCTAGAAAAGACAACAAATAACTTTTCCCGCACGCATCATTAGATAGGGTGGTCATGTGATGATTTATAAGGGCATTTTATCTGACCAACGTGATGTTGCAATAAAGAAGTCTATAGTCATCGAGTATATTGTGAGATCAGGCAATTCATCTATGAAGTTGCGATACTTTCTGAAATAAATCACAGAAACATTGTGAAACTTTTTGGATGTTGTCTCGAATCTGAGATTCTGTTGCTGGTATATGACTATATTTCTAATGGATCATTGTCTCAAGTTCTCCATGCTGAATCACGAAATGATGTTTCTTTGTTTTGGGATGATTACATAAGAATTGCCGTAGAAGCTGCAGGTGCTCTATCATATCTCCACTCAACAGCTTCAATATTAGTCTTCCATCTGTTAGAACTAAACAATCTTAGACTATGGATCTTAATTGCCTAGCTCACCATTTGATGCCCACATAAGCATAGATGCACATGGCGATGTATACAAATGGGGCATATGCCCTTAGGGGCAAAAACAACATTCACGATGCGGATGCAGATGCAGCAGACTTGTCGTAGTAGAGAATGAAGAGGAGGGCACGTGGAGGAGAAAAGTGGCCATGTGGAGAAGGGCGATGTCACTATGTCAAAACTGCAAAAAGAAGACACCATTATAAGTGTCAGGAAATTGTGACGCAGGCAGAAATTCGAATCATTTTCTCGAGCCATATGAGGAGAAAACCTCCTATACGTTTCTAGGGGGGTTGTTTATCTACATCTATCCCAATAAGCTATCTATCGAATCGTTGCAATTGATGTTTGATCTCTGATGTATGATCATAGACGTGTCTAGTAAGAACGCGTCTCTGAGGTGTTGGCTCCGAAGAAATAGGTTGTTGGAGGCATATATCAGAGACGCGGATCAAGAAAACGTGTTTGTGATATAAGAATGAGACGCGTCTGTGATAGTTTTATATCAGTGACACGTCTAGATGGATTTTGGTCTGTGCATTTTTGTCTCAGGCCTAAAAAATATAAAGTCTAGTTAACTCTCGCGTCCCCCTCGCCCCTTTCTCTCTTCCCGCCATGGTTAGCCACCGCTGCCACCGGCGACTGTCGTCTCCTCCAATGATCCCACACCGCTACATGCCGCCTCTTCTTGTCCCTCTCCCGTCCCTCACCCATCTCCTCCCTCTGTGCCCTCCCATCCTGTCCCTCAAGCGGCGACGATGGTGAGGGACGCTATGGGGCACTGGCCATGGTGGCGGAGCGAGCTGCTCGGGCCGTGCGAGGGAGGCTAGATCTGTAGTAGCTCATGTGAGGGACGACAGACTCTCGAACGAAGGAGGATAGATCCAGGGTTGCTTGTGCTTCGGAGATATCGACGATGGCGGCCATGGTGGGCTCGTCTTGGCACTGGGGAGGCGACATGAAGCTGAGCGTGCGGTTGTTCAAGCCCCCGCATTCGAAGAGGAGTCATACCCAAGGAGGGCATCGCACCACGGGGTCTACACAATCTGCGTATGTGATAACCCCTCATCACAGACGAGTATAGTAAAAACACGACTGTGATAGCCCTCATCATAGACACATCTAAACAACATGCGTCTATGATGACTCCTTATCACAGACGCGTTTTGTCTATACACAGGCATCTATGATGTGGGGTTATTACAGATGCGTCTTCACGCGTCTATGATGAGGGGTCATCACAGACGTGCTATGGGAAACACGCCAAACCCACGTCTGTGATTTGTTTTTTTGATATAGTGTGTGTCGAAAGGGTGGTGCATGATGAGAATGGCATCGTGTGCACCTTGTAACAATTACTTAACAAGAACTTGGGCAAGCATAACATTATTCTCCATCATCCAACCCTGAATGGGATTGGTAGGATCTCTCTTTATACATAGGTGATGAAGATATAATGACAGTTCTCGCATTCATGCACGATATGATTATCTTGATAAGCAATGCTTTATTGTTTTTTTTTTCTTAAATAATAATGCCTGGAATGTTCAGATGCACATGTATGTGTGTTTCGTGTGTAGCACGGTTGTGCAGCGTCTATCATGAGTATACATAGAGATATATAGGCACAGTGATGTGCGGTGTCTATCATGAGTATACGTAGAGATAGGCAGTGATGTACATATATGTCTGCATACACATGCATGACGACATGATAGCATCTTAGCATATGTCTGCGCTAATACAGAATGTTATGAACAAGATACCTCTCACGTCAAAGAAAAATACTTGAGACGACCATTGCAGCAATTGCTACAGTATTTGCAAATATGAACATAAACATGTGGAAGGCATAGATAACGCCAAAGGGATACTGCTGACTGATGCGCTTCTTGAGACACCTTTGTTGTTTCGAGAAACCACCTACCACAAACTGCAAAACTCCTACAGACGATCCAGGCATTGCAAGTTTTGTAAGAAGACTTATCAGGACATACACCCCAGCGTAGATCAGCTGATATAGAAGAGACTTCATAGCTTTCCTATCACTGCTTGTCACAGCTGATATGGCCTCAAAAAAGGCTAGCATCATGCAGATGAGTGACAGCCAAAGGAAGTCCATGGACATAATGAAGCCCTGCCAAGAACGATGAGACCGTGAAGCACCCCCATAAACAAGTAATATCGTCGCCATTACAGATGTGGTCATGGCAATGGTGTCCAGCACTAGGAACGCACTGTAAGTGTGATTCCCGTTCAGATTTGCCTTTCCGTCTGATCCATATGAACCAGGCACGTTGAATGCTGCTGAGAAGGCGACTGTCGCCACAAGGGTGGAAACAATTGCGAGGTTTTTCGATGTAGCTTCTCGCCATTTCATGATGTCCTGTCCGTTCCATTTGTTTACATGGTCTTGCCTTTGTGGCTTGAACTGTGCTCCATAGACAAACAGCGTTACCACTAGCCTTGCCTGCTAGTTCACAAATGTGTCATGGACATGAGGACAGGTTAGTTCAAATGAATACAATATGCACTTTTTTATATAAAACACAGAATTTTGTAACATTCCCTAAAAATAGAAGGATGGAAGTATTACTTACCATTAAGTAGAAACCCCTTGAGTTTTCTATCAGATCAGATGGGGTGTGGCCGTCATTGTTCATGATGTGAACCTGCATTTTTCCACTGGATAAAAGCTTAGAAACCACTCTGTATTCCCCTGCCTGCAAAGCTAAATGTAATGTTGTATTCCCTTCCTGGTCTTGCTCATTCAAAAGATATTCCAGCATTTGGTTTTTTATGACATAAGATATAATGGAGTGGTGGCCTCTCATGGCTGCAGCGTGTAGAAAATTTCTGCCATGGTTGTCACGAATGTCTGAAGACGCAGGGTGGTATTGTAATAACAAACGGACTGCAGGTAAATGGCCCATCAAGGCAGCAACATGAAGAGCCGAGAGGCCTTGGCTGTCCTGCATGTATGCGGTGCTGGGTGGTGCATGTTTTAAGATGTCTTCGATTATAGAACAGTCACCACTGGATGCAGCAAAATGTAATGGGCTGCTCTTGTTGCTATCAAGGTCGCTTGCAAGTGTTGGTCGCCATTGCAGTAGCAAAGAAACCATTTCTACAAGAAATGAAAATTTTCATATTAATGTTAGTAGGCCTCAACACATAGTTCAATGTATCAGATGATGAGTTAGAAAAGGATGAAACATATATATTATTGATTTTGTTTTGAAAAAAAAAGTCCATCTATGTCTCTAGTTACAACCATGTTACTACTGTTAGCCATGTTGCCATATTTGTAATGTTACACATTACAAACACATTCAGCTCTATTCTCAACTAGCATATATGACTTCAGCTTTATTTGGAGGAAAACTACTTTAAAATGTGGAGTCATCCAATGTTGCCATGTTGGCCTCATGGAACCTCGTGAAGCAACAGAGAAGAGGGCTGTAAGCGAATAATTGCCGATTGAAGATGTCAATAGTTACAGTTCATTTTAACTTTGTTTTAAATCAATCTTTTTAAAATTTGATCAAGTTTCTATTAAAATACACTAACATTTATAACATTAATTAACTACTTTTCACTAAATTCTCCATGTCAATTTATGTTTCTAAAAACTTGGTAAAAATTTCAAAAAAAAATTGACTTAGGATAAAGCCAAATCAAGTTATAACTTGATACGGTGGATGTATGTTTTATCTTAACGCTAATACTCCTCCGTGGGCATCCATCCTGCGTCCGCGCCCCCGGACACTCTTAGCTGGGCCTGTTGACCGGGGCACTGGCATGCTCCCACCTTCAGTTCGTCCACACCATTATTTAATTAGCGACGTGGCTACTTCTCATCCACATGACGGACACGCGGAGGCACTCCGCTTTCTACCTAGCCACGCGACACGCACACCCGGCCCAACTGCTCCCTGACGCAGCGGCGCTGGCGTCGGCGCCGGTCGGCACGGGCTGCTCCAGCTCGGCGAGTGTGTCGAGCTCATGGCACGTGTGCTGTGGCAGCCACCAGGCGCTGCATCTTGCACGCCTTCCAGTCCATCTTGGGCGGCGTAGCGTAGCCCGTGCAGGTCGCCGGCGCCGGAGGAGGAGCCTTGCTTGATGAGCACGGCGAAGAGGGCGTCGAAGCGGCAGAGCAACGTGTCGGCGTAGCAGACGGACAGGCGTGCGACGGTGTGGGAGCAGGTGCAGCTCGACAAAATCAGCTCGTAGCCCTACACCGCGCTGTGCACCGGCCGCCTAAGCCCCGCCCCATCCCCCACCACAGTTCTCCACCAGGTAGGCCATGGCCGCAAGCGACGTCGTGTTTCAGTAGTTTCAGACTTATGTTTTAAGCGTTTCATCTGAATGTTGCAAAAGTCAATCTAGGATGTTGCATATGTGGCAATAACAATATACGCATGTTGCAAGCATATGTTTTCGAGTGTTTCAATTGTGTCAAAAGTATGTTTCAAGTGTTTCATCATGATGTTGCGGAAGTATATCTGGATGTTGCATAACAAGCATGTTTTAAACGCATGTTCCAAGTGTTCCAGGTGTTTCATACGTATGTTGCAAGCATTTTTATCCTAATGTTGCAAAACTAGATCTAGATTTTGCATTGCTATGGCTATACACGCACCATGTTTCAAGCGTATATTTCTAGTGTTTCATCTGTTTTCAGTCGTATATTGCAAGTGTTTTCTCTATTGGATGTTTCAAAAGTAGATCTAGGGAAGCACATGTAGCAATGGCCTCGGTGGCTTGCGGACAGTAGCCTACCATAGCCGCATGCTACTGTTGTTGGGGCGCCGCCCGTGGGTCACCGTGCGGGCGCCTGAGGCCGACCGACACCTCCCGGCACGCATCCGCAGGCGGGGTGAAGCGGGCGTGGCTGTCTATTACGGTCCGTCGGGGTAATGGTCCTCCTGTTACATGGGCACGGTAGGCACGGGCGCACGCGTTTTACGCTAAGCACACGCTAGGCAACGATAATATTCTCGTGAGCGGCGAGCATGGCGCAGGCGTCCAGACGCGCGTTTTTGTCCGAACATCCTGGTGCTAGACCCTCTCTTTATCTTAATGTAATCAACTACTCCCATACTGGTTGGGTCGACTATCATTACAATAGTTGAAAATGTGAAATACATACTGTTGATTATTTATCATGTCACAAAGATCGCGTTGTTTCAAACAAACCTGGAGAGCCACACCTACTCTTCACATTAACAAAAAAAAAAACAGTCCAAGTTGAATTGCGTGTTCCGGCTTACTTATCTTTTATTATTTTTTTAAGTTATACTAGCAAATTTGTCTGTGTGTTGCAACGGGTGAAATAAATCTACCTCTTATGTTGACACGTCGTGATGGTACATGGAATTACGTCGGTTTAGTAAGGTTTCATCTAAACTTGTCGATATTTCGGAGATCATTCCAATTTGCTTATTGCGATGGAATATAATACACTTTTGTTTCTTCTTTTCTTGTTCTCCTTTTCTTTTTTAATTTATTTTCTTTCTCACTTATTTTTTTTTCTTTCTCTCAATCCACAGCCTGTTCGGGAGGTCGTATCGTATCGTGGATTATTTATTGCTGGCTGGTTTGGTGTGAGAGAAAAACACTATTCCCGACTGGAAATTTACGATCGTTTACGAGCAAGCGAACAGGCACCAATCCGGCTGGGCCCTCTCCACGGGTTCCTCTGAAAAATATCTCCACAGGAGCGGGAGCCTTATCCACTGCACGCAGCTTCTCGCTGCAATGGCCTGGGCAAGTCCGTTCCGCCTGCACGCCGGGCCAAGCGGCGCCGCCGCACTGCACGCATCGCCTCAACCAACGCGCGATGGAGTCCGTCCGCGTGCCTCCGTGCCCGCGCGTCCGGCTGCGGCAAGCCGAGTGCCGAGGAGACAAAGCACAGCAGAGCCCAAGAACAAGAAAGTGTATTTCATTCCCACATCCCAATCGATCGAATACAGATGAGAAGCGGGAAGCTGCTCCGCAATCTCCTTCCGTGCCTGCCCAAATTTACCGATACCCCCGCCCAAATCCGCCAGAGATCACACCTTTCCACCAAATCCGGCCAGGATGCGGCGCAATCGGCGGCCACGGACCCAGTCCGCGCGGTGTCGTTCGTTGCTGGCCGAGCGGGACTGGCTCGTGCGGGTCAACTCGGAGTTTGCCTCCCCGCTCCGGCAGCTGGGCCCGCGCCTCGTCGTCCGCGCGCTGCATCACGCTACCGCCGCCGCCGAGCCGCTCCTCTGCGTGCGCCTCTACCTCTGGCCGTCGCGGTTCGGCCAGCACTTCGCGCAGGACCGGTCCGTGAGGCGCGCGCTCGGGGATGCGCTGTGGCAGCGCGGGCCCATGGTACTCTCTGGTGGTCTAGATTCAACTCATTGGCTCTTTCGATTTCGTCTGATCTTGTCCGTGGTAGAGAAAATTGGATATCTGGGACTCCCATCGTTGCGCTTTGCACTTTTGCAGTATAATCATTGGGCTTTGCACTTTTGCATTCTCATTGGCCATTTGATTTGTATGTCATTTGGTGTATTTCTTCTCTTTTCTAATCTATGTACGTGTATTTCCCACCTAAAAGGACATCTCTACCCTTCCGGGATTTTCACGCGTGCATGGATACGATTAATAGCGACGGACGTTTCGTTTTGTGACATGAACTTGTTAAGGCTAAATTCGTGGATTTGTGAGATGAACTTAACATTATTTTGCTTCTTATTGTGTGATATGCATAGAATTTTTATGCCTATATTTTTTATTGTGCTGAGTACTCCATGTCTGACAAATTTTATGCCTATTTTTTTTATTGTTGCCCAGGCGGCGGCGGCCGGCCGGCCAGCCAGCACAGGCGGCGGCGGCGACAAGGCTGCTTGCCTGCCCAGGCGTGCCAGGTACAGGCTCAAATATTGAATACGTGCTCCAGGCGTACCATCCTGGCGTGGAAAGAAAAACGGAGTACAACTCCATGTTTGACACAAGGGAAAAGTAAAATTAAAAACATGACCGTCATAGGAAAAAAAATAGAGTAAAACTATTGCTATTTGAGGATTTTTCTCAACTTATTATTTTCTCTCCTCAGATTTGTCTAATTTCGATTTTTATTATCTTCTACTTGGATAAGGATTATGATTAGGATTCTAATTATCCATATTACCTCAAGAACATATATTTAAGTCGTGCATAGATATCAGAAGGGCTATAGGTAGACTAACAGACATAGTTTCATATTTCTATTCAGTTTATTTAGGCTCGAAGAGATCTATTTGTCATAACTATCTAGGGTTGTATAAGTCTAGATGGAAGAAACTCTCAACTACTGGTGGTTGGGGAAAGGTGGATGAAAAAAATGTATGAACGAAAAAAATAACCGAAAATATTGTCTCTTTATTATTAGATATAGATATAGATAAGTTTGACCAACCCGTCCACGTGACACATCAAATCGTCAACTTGGTTTGTCAATTCAAGAACATTGACTACACACAACACTAGCTTCGTTTCAAAAAACACACACACAACACTAGCTGTTTCGTCTTCATAATTAAAGTAAACAATGTTTTTTCATTGGCTATGCAACTTCTAAGAGACATGGATGGGGTTAATTAGTTATTAATTAATTAACCAAAAGAAGAAAAATTAAAGAGTGAACGAATTGACCTGAACTCTGGAGAACAGCAGCGTGCAGCGCGTTCTGCGACATGGGCCCGGCGGCAGCCGCGTCGTCCCCGTACGCGACAATGGCGGCGACGGCGCGGACCGACCCGCTGACCACGGCCAGGTAGAGCGGCGACACGCCGGCGCCGTTGAGCTCCGCCGCCAGGCCGGGCGCCAGGCCCATGAACGCCTCCACCGCCGCGGCCGCCGTGCCTCGCGGCCACGTGCAGCGCCGTGTCTCCGGCCCGGTTCTTCGCCCCGAGCACGTCGTGCACGCCCCGCAGCCGCAGCCGCCGCCAGGCCTCCTTGACGTCGTCGTCGCTGTCATCGTCGTCCTCCCTGCTGGCGATGAGCCGGACGATGACGGCGACGGCGTCCGCGTGCCCCGCCCTCGCCGCGAAGTGGAGCGGCGTGTCCTGAGCGGAGGTCAGCGAGGAGAGGAGGTCCCGGTCACGACGGGCGAGTTCGGTGATCAGGCCGCAGCGGCCTTGCCCGGCGGCGATGTGGCGCTCTGCCGTCACCTCGCGGGTGCTGCAGCTTCGTCCGGGATGACTGGCTGAAATCCAAGGTGAATAAACTAAACTTAATAATTTCACTGCTTTGTTGAAAATGGTAGCATGTTCAAGAGATGGGACGACGAGGATATATGGTGTACTCTGTTTTCTTAGTCCTTGTCGGTTTTTTTGGTTAGACAACCACATGTATAGTATTTAGTATAAAATATATGCTTTGTTCAAAATGATACACATATATGGCATGCAATCACTCAACAATGAGACCATATGATGCATATTATCGTGTATATGTCCGGACAACTAGCGCCCGGACGTCCGCCCCGAGGACGCGTCGGACACAGCTCGGGGCCATCCGGTTTGAGGAACAGGAGTCGTCCGATCTCAGCACATAACAGAAGAAACGAGCGCACCTATCCCTCCCCCACATAACGGAACAGAAGGAGCGTGCGCCCGCGGGAACTTGCGGCGGTCCGTCCCCCGCTGCGGTGCCAGCATCGAGAAGAAGGGGAGCGGGCAACGCCCGCCTGCGCCTCTGGCTCGGATGCCCAGCCAGCGCTGAGAGAAGGTGGAGACACCGAGGCGAGGAGGGAGTAAGATGCAATACTTGATCTACTTTTAAAACATCTAGATGCAACTCTTGCAACATACATCTCAAGACAGATGAAACATGCATCTAAAACACTTACAAAAAACATCTCAAAACCATTGTAAAACATATGCAACATCCAGATAAAACACTTGCAACATATGTGTGAAACATATGCAACATCTAAATAAACACACTTTGGCAACATACGTCTAAAAAAAATAGATGAAACATTAGAACAGAAGTTTGCAACATACATGTACAATCATTATAATATATGTAACATTCCGATCTTTTGTAATATCCTTATGAAACATCTGCAACATGCCTATGAAACATCTGAAACATAGACTTGCAGCATACGTTTTCACCCTTCTTCTTCTTCCGTACGACGCAGCGCAAGCGGGGGATGGACAGGCAGAGGGCAGCACCATCGCGACCCCTTCTGGAGACGAGCGGAGGGGGCGGCGGGGATAGGCCGCTGGCGAGCTTTGGCCATGCGAGCTACGCCGTCACAGGCAAGCGGAGGGGAAGGCGGAGATAGGCCAGCGATGGAGGAGGCCGCCGGCACCGGCGGGCTCTGCCCATGAGCTCTGGTGAAAGCTTTAGTTTGGTTTTGGTTAATTGATGAAACCCTAAGTGCTAACCTAGTTTATCAAGATGATTATGAGATAGGTAGCACTACTCCAAGTGATGAAGCAATGACGAAGATCATGACAATGGTGATAGCATGGTGATGATCAAATGCTTGAACTTGGAAAAGAAGAAAGAGAAAAACAAAAGGCTCAAGGTAAAGGTATAAAATGTAGGAGCCATTTTGTTTTAGTGATCAAGACACTTAGTGAGTGTGATCACATTTATGATAGATAGCCGTACTATTAAGAGGAGTGTAACTCGTATCGAAATGCGGTTATCAAAGTGCCACTAGATGCTCTAACTCATTGCATATGCATTTAGGATCTAGTGGAGTGCTAACACCCTTGAAAATATTTATGAAAATATGCTAACACATGTGCACCAGGTGTTTGTAGGGTTGAGATGGATTCGGCGCTTTTGGAAAAATGAAATGTCTATTTTCTATTGCGCCGGATGCAAAATTCTTGGTGGTTGGCACATTTGAGCAAGGGTGAAAAAGTTAGAGTTGAAATGGAGTTGATCGAAATGATGCTGGCGTCGGTCTACTGACCGGACGCTGGGTCACTCAGCGACCGGACGCTGAAAGGCTGCATCCGGTCGAGCTGTCAGACGGCACAATGGGTAGGGTTGAGCACCGGACGCTGGTCTGCGTCCGGTCAAGGTGGACCGGACGCGTCCGGTCGAAGAAACATTCCTCGGGGAGCTTACTCGAAATGACCGGACGGCTGGGGCTTCAGCCGTCCGGCCGATTTTTGACCGGAGCGTCCGGTCAACCAATGAGCCGTTGAAATCGGCGAACAACGTTTGAAGTCGGTGACGCGTGGCGTCCATCGGGCGACGGACGCCGAGGCTGCGTCCGGTCGGTATGACCGGAGCGTCCGGTCGAGCGTGTTTTTGCCCAAAGAAAGGGGTACAACGGCTCTATTTGATGGGGGCTCTTTTATAGCCCCATGGCGGCTCAAAGGAAAAACTCTTGCACATTTTCATTGACATAGCAACCTTGTGAGCTTAGCCAAAGCCCTCCCACTCATCTCCATCATTGATCCATCATCATTGTGAGATTGGAGGAGAATCCAAGTGCATTGCTTGAGTGATTGCATCTAGTGGCACTTGGTATTCGTGTTCTTATGATTTCGCTTGTTTCTCTTGGTGGTTGCCACCACCTAGACGGTTGGAGCGAAGGTGAAGGATCGGCACGAGTTGGTGATTGTTCGTGGCCGCCTTCGGTGATTGTGAGGGGAGTTGTACCTTCCCGTGAGTGCCGAAAGGTAACTCTAGTAAATTGCTCGTGTCATTGAGTTACCTCACTTGTGGGTCGGTTCTTGCGGTGTCCAATCGTGTGGACGAGGTTTGTGAAAACACCTCTTAGTCGCCAACCACCAAGTGTTGATCGACACAACGGGGACGTAAGCGTGTTGGCAAGCCGCGTGAACCTCGGGAGAAAATCGATTGTCTCTCTTCTTTGTCATTCTCCCGGTGATTGGCTATATATTCATCTTGTGATTGGTTCATCCCCTACACGTCGGTATAATCACTCTACTCACTTATTTATATTCTTGCAAACTAGTTGATACAAGCTCTTTAGTGTAATTAGAATTGAGAGCTTGCTTTATTATTTACATTCATCTAGTTGAGCTCTTTAGAGTAGCAAGGTTGAGAGCTCTTAGTGAGTAATTACATAGCTAGTTTGTGTGCCTAAGTATTCATTGCAACTAGAATTGTTGGATAGGTGGCTTGCAACCCTTGTAGAGCTAGAGCAAGTTTGCATTACGCTATTTGTCATACTAATCAAATTGCTCTAATTGATTTGTAGATTTTTAAATAGGCTATTCACCCCCCTCTAGCCATATTAGGACCTTTCATCTGGCCAAGTGGGGGGAAGAAGGGGCTGGCGGGGAGCTCTGGCCAAGTGGGGGATGGGAAGAAGGGGGCTGGCGGCGGGCTGAGGCGCCGTAGGGGATGTGCAGGATGGAGGCACCGCGGGGAGTACAACGAGCGGACGGGGATCTTTTCTTTGCGGGAGAGCGTCCGGACGGAAGTCATGGGACGGACGTCCTCATCGTATCATTATCGTATATTATACATGTTTATTAGTCAAAAATACTGCATTGTTATGCACACTATTTAAAAACAACAAGGTTCCATTGCTGACCATCGTTTACCGTTTTAAAAAAAGAAAAAAAAGGATTGTTACGGCTTGTTCAAAAGAAAAATAGTACCACCACTGGATTTAAGAAACAATCGATCATAAGGATAAGTCCTTACAAGTGCCAGTTTTAAGGGAAACTGAGTGTGGTATCGACTACCTGGTTTTTTGCAACTGGTAATGAAGGAGGGTAACGACAGATTCCAACAAAAATGCACAACGTGGGTGCTCATGAAGTTTGGAGCACGTGAACGTGGGCGCGGCACCCTCCTTCATTACCCCTTTTGGTTAAATCGAATCTGCGGCGTTTAACCAAAAGTGGTAATGAACTTGCTTGGGCCAAACTGTCCTAATGCTTTGATATTTTCATGCACCAATCACTATGCACCAACAATTCCTCCTCGGCACTCATCTATCGCGTCATCTTTCTCTTTCATACAATTCCCTACTAGAGAAATAGGTGTCCTTTCAATGCACCGCTCTCAGTTGACTACAAACTAATATTAATACAGAAGAGGAAGAGCACTGAAGTGTATTTACAAATTTACAAAACCAAGAGAAAAAAGGTGCCAAAGCACTACGGTCCTATTTGGATCCCTCCAATTTATGCTAGTTTCTAAGAATATGTAGCTTTTGAAACTGGGTGGGATCCAATCGGACCAGTTGAAGCTGTTGATATCCAACTTTTGTCAGTTTCTTGTGACCTAATGAGCAATAAATGATGTCAGATTCTTAAAAACTGGGGATCCAAACATCCCACCACTAGGCTACCCCATAGTTAAGAATGATTTGCTGATTTGCCTCCGTTGCTTTTGCTCCTGCTAAACTCCATGTTATCACCTCTTCCTCGATTTTTGCAATTAGAGACTCTGGACTCAAATGTCGTCGTTGAAAGATGCTTGCATTCCGCTCTTTCCATAGCTCCCAAATGACAAGAGGATCAATGACCAAATCGCCTAAGCTGACATACCTTGGCCTTTCCAAAATTAACCATGGATTGATTCAAAATAGAGAGAGGGAGGATCATATAGACGAGAAGTGAGGAGGAATTGACATGTGAAAGATAGAGATAATGAGATAGTCAAATCAATATATTAGTCTATCAATTAGACTAGTAGGCGTGTTAGAAGGGCAGGCCGGGGCACCAGAGGGACGATATGGTCGATGAAGGACGTGTAGTGGTTGGAGTGTAGTGCATTGTGGAGCGGTGAATCAGGAGGAGATGACAGGGAGCGACGGGTTTTTCCCCCACTCATCTCGCGACGTTAAAACTCATGAATTGATTCGTGTTGATTTCGGCGAGGAGCCAACGGTTGAAACCTAAACAATGCATGCTATAAACCCTGAATTGTAAGTTTCACATAATGTAACTCAATCTTCTTTGTATGCTGACCCTGATGACCCATTTTACTAGATTCGCCACTGTTTGTAGTATAAGAAAATATAAAAAGTTGTTCTTTGCTCTGGATTCATGTGAATCCACGCCACAATCTAGCTGTCCTGTCCTCCGTTCTGGTTCTAGTATCTTCGCCTGTCCGGAATTATCGGCCCAAGACACCTAGTAGGACTTTTGATGCGCCACTACGGGCTCCACATGTCGCGGCAGGCATGATTTTCGTTATTGACCGTTAAACCAGCCACTCCAGCATCCCACCCACTGACACGCCGTTCCAATCC